ATATCCTCTATACCTATTTTATTTATTTTGGAGTTCATTCTTAGTATTATCATTATTAATGTGCAGTTTGGTTCTCTCTTTCGTGATAGCATAGGAAATACCTTCTATATGGGCCTACTCTCAATTTCCCCAAAACTAATGGTTATTTCTTTTAATAAACCTAACTAAAATGACGATTAACCAAGTAAAAGGCTTTTGCAGAATTCAATAAACTGAATGAATCACAATAGTGTTTGTAAAAGCCTTTGCAGAATTCAATAAACTGAATGACTCTCAATAGCGTTTCCAAATATATGCCGAAGTGTCTAGGCAAAATTCATAATTAGCGTTGCATGGTCTTCGGCGGCTACTGTATGTGTTTGTGTTAAATCGGCACCTAGTATGCAGATGAAACCTATATCGGGCAACACTTTAGCTGGAGGGTTAAAGAATCGTTATTTACTAATTGCTCAAGTTCTCACTCTCTTTTCCCTCATCCATCTGAATCCCCAGTCTCTCTGTCTCACCTTAGGTTTGGAGAGCGTCCGACGTGGTCATGGCCGATTTTGATAGAACGTAGATGGCAGTTAGATAACTGCCACATAGTCACGGGAACCAATTTTAGGCCGCCAGAGAATGACCCATCAAAGATAGGCTGTGTCAGCTTCTACTTGGTCTACTACGTCTGTTGTAAGTTCTGTGCATATGCTAGAGGTGCAAGTTCTAGTAATTATACATACTAAAACCAGTAGATTGCAAGCTACTGTGCAGCCTATATGTGCACGCAAGAAATTGTAACTAAGTATACAGTGGTAATCTATATAGGGATTTTAGTAAACTGAAGGGTTAAAGAAACGTGTATTTGCTAATAGCATTTTCGCTTGTGGTGGTAATATCTAAAGATTGACAGTGCATTTAGGTCGTAACAGACAGCCATTGACCGTTTTTCCAGGCTACCTTAGACTTTCTACAGTACCTACCTCTAGCTCTGATTTTGCAGACAATCATCTTTCTAGGTAGGTGCGCTACAAGTACGGTAGTAGAGGACAACAGTATGATAATACAGTGCAGCAGGAATTATGCAATCTTAGTGGAGCTAGCGATACTAGCAATTTTAGTTTGTATAGTCCAGGGGCAACTGTTACCGTATTTGATCTAACTTACATATAACTATACACGTTAGAAGTCGGCTCTAGATAGGGATGACATTGGGGACGTCCTGAATAATGCTTATCAGTACTCTGCGACTAAATTTAGTGCCGGGAAATCTCAATGAGCTGACATGGCATCTAGGAGTTTGTCTGTACAGGCCATAGCAGAATCATCTCCTGCGGTCACTGGGCGTACTTTTCGATTGACACCGCACATATAGGACTACTAGGGCCAGGATACTGCTGTTTGAATAATTCTGTCAATGCTATGAATGTTAATTCTAGTAACCATATTTCTAAGAACAGTATTGATTATACTGCAGTGTTGCCTGGACGTGCATGTGTTAAGTTGGAACCTAGCATGCAGACGCAACCTATGTATATCGGCAATTATTTAGCCATTAGCTGTTATTAGGCTAACGTTTGATTTTTACAGTACCTAACTCTTTCATGGTGTTTAGAGGACATCTCCTACCCAATAGGAGAGTAGTCTGCTCCATAATCAACTAACATTGATATATCCTAAAACTGTGTCAGTAGCTCTGGAATAATGAATAAGTAGAGAAGATAGGAATATGCGCTTACCACCTTTTTGTCCTTATCTGGAGTTTGTGTGAGACACCCCGGGGGTTGTTTTGCGGGTACGCCCTCCTTGTACGGAGTTGCAGATCAACAGATAGGGGCAGGCGGATTTCGCATAACTGTCCTAAATATTCGGGGTCCTTACTGTTAGGAGTGTAGCCTAACCGAATGCCTGCCTTCCTGAGGCCTCGTGCCTTTGACCGACTGCTACAATGATTCACTTGTCAATGCGGACTGTCTTCAAGATCATATGACTTCGCGGTGCCTTTGCCCACTAGATGAGCTTAACCTTGGACCGGACAGACATACACGTGAGTCCACGCGCGTTACAACACCTATGAACGACAAACAACGTAAGGCATGGGATATTACATAGGAATAACAATGGCTCAGTAATATAGACGAAGTTTATTTTCCACCGTCAGACACTAAACCTGCACATGGCTTACAAATTAATCTGTCCTGTGGACTAATTCATGGACCAGCAGCTTTCTAATAATTAATTAGGTGCTTGGATAAGTTAAAACCCTGATAGTTTTCTGCTGGATTTCATAAGTGTTTAGGACATTGCTCACCAGTTCACCCAGCCTCTGCTGGGTTATTCAGTCTGATGGCTTCTCTAATCCTGCGTCTGATGTGTCCATTGTCATAAAAGTGTTTCCCTCTTGTTCTCGTTTTCACCTTTGTTAGTATAAAACGGGGACGCCGTAAAACATCACTGGTCCTCAAGTGCCCTTAGTAGGAGGGGAGATGCACTTACAACAGTCATACATGACTGTCATACCTGTAAAAGCAGATATCAGAGGCCTTCCCCGATCCCAAAAGAGTTTACTAACAGAAATAGCAAGAAAACAGCAAGAGTTTTCACGTACATTCCAGCACTCACGAAATTTCGTCAATAAAATGGGCTATGCAATCGCAGCGATCGTGTCACATGGGGATCACAGCGCTCAAGGACATTCATCTGCAAATCATAGTAATACAAACGAATTTTTCTATTCAGAATAAATCAATCATAATCGCACATTCTGGTACTTTAGTACCATAGAAGCCACAGGGGCCCTATTCGTAATCAGACCACATTTCACTGGCTGTCATCGGTTTTTGTAGCACTGGATTTGACTTTAGCATAGGTGCAGATGGACCAATCCGCGTGAACGATCAGGCCGCAGTCGCCGTGACAAGCCGCCTTTGTTGTCAGACGTTGGGTCCGCCGTGAGCGGTGCATTCACTGACTTATATAAAGTGTGTCTGGTTCAGTCTCGCATATCTATTGCACTTGACGAGCTAACTCTCCATCGGACTCATAGCACAGAATTTTTAACCGGCAAATACATTGCCTGAGCTGGCTTCTATACTCGCGCGTGTGTGTGACCTTAGAGTTTTCTTGTCCCGTTCCCTTTCTCTTCTGTGAACACCACTTAAAACGCTGTGTTGAACGCTCAGGACCGTTTGTCCACTCCCACGACTATCACTCAACAGCCAGTCTGAAATCCATCCTCACCAGTAGCGCCCCTGACACAAAAGCCTGCGTTATATCCCAATCCTTTACAACACCGACACAACTGTCAGGGATAGCACTCCAGCCTGACGACAAAGAGAAGACAAATTACCCTTCCCGGCTCCAAGCACTAACAAGACCAAAATCCCTTCACTGGAACTGCTTTTGATGCGATCAAGATGGGATCAAGCGAATCCAAGGAGCATCACCACCGCAAAGAGAGTGAGACGGTGGAGTCGGTGGTGGAGGAAAGGGTGGCGCCAGCAACAGCAGCAACAACGCCACAGCCGGCTGCGCAACAGGAATCGCCGAATACTAATGGAGAGCAGAACCACAACGAGGTCGCGGTAGATGTACCATCAGAACCAGCTTCACAGCAGCAGCAGCAGTCTAACCCAAAATCTAAAGAAGAGGAGATGCATCATATAAAGAACCATGAGAAGAAGCACGAGAAGAAAGAATCTCCAAAAGATAAACAAGAACGGAAGAAACGCGAGGCAGAGGAAGCAAGACCTAAGATACCAGAACCGGAACGTGAACTTGTAATGAGAAGAGAGCGCAACTACAGAGGATCGATGATCACCTATTATTCATATGAGGTAAAACTACCACCACAGGCTGGAATGGCCTGGAGTCCGGAGTCCTATCGGTACCTAGGACCGCCCAATGCGTTGCTAAGGGATTCAGAAGGCATACATTCAGCACCGGCGTCACCAGTATCAAAGAGGCACACTGAAGCTACTAACACTAAGCCCGTGCAGTATGACTCACAAGAGTCAACTCAATCTGATATAATTGTACCGTCGCAGGCGACGACACAAGCATGCGCACCACCGTGGCAGCAGCCTGAAGGCCCTATTACCGAATGGACGCAATGTAACAGAGTTTCACAGTACTCAACTCAACCACAACTAATTGTACCGTCACAGACGACGACACAAGAATCCGCACCGCCGACGCAGCAGCCTGAA